CTTGCTACTAACTTTTCTTTTGTTTTTTTTGGGATTTCTCAGCGGGTTTTCCTGGCCCTTCCTGCTTTCTTCTTAGTTAGGATTTCCTTGTTCGTCCATCTAGCCGGGCTTGGGTTTCTTTTCTTTGAGGCGAGATGTGCGGTTGGCTCCATACCAGAGGGGCTTGGAGGGTTGGCTTTTTCCTGTGGCGAGAGGAGGGATATGGGTTTTTTGTCGTCATAGCTAGCGCTCCATACGTTTTTTGTACCCTAAACAAATAATCAATGAGTCAAACAAAAAAACAAAACAAATCCCTAGCTTTAAATCTATCATCAGCGACCGGAGAAGAGATCTTATCAATATATTCGTTCTACTTCTATCTTTACGAGCCTTCTTGACTATCTCCGAGACAGAAGATTACAGGGCCTAGTGTACACTCGCTTGACTTTAAAGTTACCTACCCCCTAACAGCAAGCCACGAGAGCCCTCATCTCAGCCAAACTTCAAGGCTCAAGCACCAAGACTTCCTAGAAGCTATTACGGCTGTAAGGTTTGTAGAGAAGCTATCTGTTTGAAAAAGAAGAGCTGTTTTTTGGAGCATATTGCACGTGCTCGACTGGCAGAGTCACAGAAAAACTTGGCAAGATCAGAGTCAATTAAATAATGTAGTTATCTGTTAAACATGGACTCGGATAACTATAAAGGATTATCAAAACAAGTAGAAACACTATATATTTTGTATATAAACCTCCACTGTATGAGGTTCTTTGATGGGACGGGATAGACTGATGCTAAAATCCTGGCACGGTTGTGGATGCGGCCAAACCCCATCCGGTGATGTCACGTGAATGGCAGTTGCTGGCAGTTCAGGGGATACCGATTTTATTAGAACCATGTGGTGTCAGCCCTATCCAAAACTTCAATCTTTTCTTCCACTACCCAAGTCTACTGAAACACTTCCTCCGACAGCATGCTTAAAGAGAATGTCTTAGTGCACTCAAACCTTCCTTTACTCTCGCTGTTTCTTCCTGAGCATAATCCACAAATAGGAACAGTACCCGTGCCAATTACTATCAGCTACTGTCTCTTAGGATAAGTAGGCAGACCACAAACTATAATACTTGCAGCCACTTAATGTACCGTGTTTGTAGAATGGGGAACGCGAGAGCAACTAGCGGGTCAGGGATACCGGCTAGAGATGCTAAGCATCTGACATGATTAACCTACGATCCATACTATGATACATTGAAATTCTTTCACAAAAAATAATACGCCCCATAAACAATCCGTTAATGAGAATAAGATGCTCAAACGTCTAGATTGGCTTAGTCTTAGGCGGAGGTATCAATAGGGTCACCTAACGGGGCGGCTCTTGGTTGCGAGGTTGCTCTTGTTGCTGCTGTTGCTGCTGTTGGGTCATCCGTAACCGTTTCAAGTAAGCAGCCTCGCCTGAGTCGTCGGGCGCATTCCTAAGGTTGTTTATTGCCGCCGCTTGACTTGAGGCCGATGAACTCCTCCTTTCAGGGGGATTGAGGGTACGAGGGCTAGCAGGGGGCACCGGCGAAGCAGCTGACTCCTTTGCGGGTGCGACACCAGAACCAGCGAGTGCCCAATTGCGATTTGACTCGCCAAACAGGTGACCTGGAGGTGGACCAGTACTAGAACCACCGGACTGGTTGCCTGCAGTAGCACTGGCGCCTTCCTGAACTGCGTGCGAAGTGGCCACAGAAGGTCTAGGGCGTGGATCACGACTCTTAACCGCAGAGGCTCCTGAGGCGCTGGAAGCTTCGGTTCCACCTTTCTGTCCAAAATAGTCAATGGCCGAGCCGACTCCGGACGCATAGCTGCCGCTCGGCGTGCGGGAAGGTCCAGAATCCCGGCGGGCTCCCGGTACTCTCGAGCTCGAGTGGTGAGATTGGGTTGCCCCAGCTTTCGTAGAGGGTTGCGCTCCTTCCTTTGCATTGTAGCGTTCAGGATCTTGTCGTCTCAGGACTTCGTAGTAAGGTCCCTTTTCCAGTTCCTGCAGGGTCCTCAAGTCTTGTTCCTCCCGCAGCATTCGCTGCCTCATGAGAACCCCTTCATCGGCAAACAGGCCAGCAAGTTTATAAGAGTCCAACGTGGTTTTACGAGGGTTGCCATTAGGCGGACGATCGAATTGCTTGATGGACACTATGGTGTGACGGTGTTCGGCCGGTATAATCTCAAGAGCCTTTTCCGCCTCGGGGGTAGATATCTGATCGATTGAATAGGCCAACATGGTAGGGGGGTTCCCAGGCATATTTGCAACAAGTTCTGTGTTATCCCAATCAACAGAGGCCACCGCGTCTTTCTTCCACTGCTCGCTCTCTCTCAGGTGTCTCGCAAGAAGTCGGTCACTGGTACAACGGTCGCATTAGGGAGGCTCAATCAACAGCTAAAATAACACATGCATAACAGGATTCCGACCGTTGCTGTTTATGAGTTTCCCTCATCAACCTTAGGGTCCGGAGGGTCCTATCTCCTGACGGGTCGTCATCCCTTGGGTCGTAACGGCTATTGTGGCATTAAGATTAGCAACCCGCCTGACGGCAGTCTGGGTGGTAACCCAGGTAGCTGAAACACATCAAGCCTTACGGGAAATCAATCATGAGTTCATCGAGCAAGTACCCCTTCAGAAAGTCAGCCCAATGACCCGCATTTGGGGAAAGTAGGGAGGTGATACTCTTTTCCTTGGTGTGCTCTGCATTTTGGCGGAAGTAGGTATGAGGTATCGTGATGGTTCGTAAAGGTGACTACCGTGCCGGGGCTTGGGTATGATGGAGCCTAGGGCGACAACCCTGCGAGGGTGGGGAGAAGCCAAAGGCAGTACCGGTAGAGCGGAATGCTCATGGAAGACGCGACAGTCCTTAAATTTATCTCCTCGTGATCCCACCCAAATCCTAGAAATTGGGAAATCGATTGTTACCCGCCCTAGGACATTGTTCTGCGCTCTACATCCAAGCTTTTGCTCGCTTGGCCCTCACAACCATTCTAACCCTACGGTACTAAAGAGGAGACCCAGGCTCACAGCTTCGCAGTTCAACTTCGAGACTTCCATCCACGTCAATTCTCAAGATGTCGATGTCAAATAACCCGGGCCATTTCTTTCAGACTGAGTATGCTAAACATCCTCGCGAATCTCTGTAACTTAGCTAACCATTCTCATAGGACAGCTCTGGCCAACGCCAAACGACGTGCTGCAAAGTCCTCCAATAGAAATGGTTCTCCAATAACCTTGGATTCTAAGCTCCTTTCCATTATTCCAGATTTGAACTCTCCAATGTGTGTTTATATCGCCGAAAGCTGTGGAATCACCCGCAGAGTAGACCTCGAAGTCTGTAAGAACCATGAATCTAGTCAAATACCCGCTGAATTGAGCTGACGGACGAAAGTCGGGGGATAAATCATACATATACAAAGGTCACACAGCGCCAGTGACCTCCCTCGCACTTAATGCCGCTCAAGGGATTCTTTTTACGGGCTCATGGGATAAAACAATCAACGCGTATTCGACGGAAACACGTCAGAAACTTCGTACCTTTGCCGCCCACTCAGATTTTGTAAAGAGCCTTCTCTTTCTTCCTTCCCCGAAACACGAGGGCGGGCTGCTCTTCTCTGGGTCAAGCGATGCGTCAGTCATAATTTGGGACGCCGGGACAGGTCAGAAATTGAGTACTTTGAAGGGGCATAATAGAGCGGTGGGGGCACTTGCAGTAGATCCAGTTGCTTCAAATTCAGAGACCGCCATTATCTACTCCGGTGGCAGTGAGAGGGATATCAAGCGCTGGGAGATCCCGTATGCAAACGTCAGCGCAGCTACCGAGAGCAGAGAATCTATCGCGGAACACGACACCAGTGTTAATACGATCAGATTTCAGGGAGAAGACGCGGACATGTGGACTGCATCTGCAGATAATACTGCTCGGAGAATTGATATCCGAACTGAGGTTAAAGAGGACGATGCTAGCCGGAGCGATACTGTTCTAAAACACCCTGACTACGTTAACGATGTGGTTGTAGAGCCGAGAGGAAGGTGGGTTATTACGGCTTGTAGAGATGAAAAAGTCCGAGTATGGGATATCAGTGTAGGCAGTCCCCTTCACTAGGTTACGTCTCAGATCCTGACCTGGTATCAGACTGGCGAACTTTATCACATATATGATGGACATATCGAAGAGGTCACAGGCCTAGCTATCGTCGGCAAAGGTGAGATGGTGGCTAGCATATCAATTGACAGGACAGTGCGGAAGTGGCCTCTGCGGGCTGTAGATATGAAGAAAGCCGTGGAGGAGAAAAAGCGACAAGAGCAAGGGATAAAAGAGGAACCGGTGCAGGAAAGGCAAGAGGGACTTCTCACAGAGGAAGAAGAGAGAGAGTTGGCAGAATTGATGGATGACGATGATTAGTATGATATCTAAAGTAATTTTTAGGTCTGCAATGGTGTAACAGCCGCCACCATTTACCACTCGTGTAGATAGCTGAGGAGCCTCGACCGAAACGGATATCGTTTAACAGTTATTACGAACAGAGAACAGAGTCATAAGATGTCCGGGTACGTCAAAACCCCACCAAAACTATACCGCACAACCAACCAAAGCCATGAAAGCCTTCAGCCCGATGTTACTAACTCTGCCGCCCACAGCGATTGAGTAACTAATTATGGGGCACTACCAGGGCGTAACTTAATCACTATCCATCTCCATCCCATCGTCACTCCTGACCAAAGACCTCCTTGGGTATTGCCTGAGCCTCTGCTCAACCCTAGAGTCAGGAGGTCCAAAGTGCTCGTCGTGTGAGTAAATGGCCTGATGAGGACTAGAATCGGCCCCCTGGGTTCCCTCTTCTTCCTCTCCTTCATCCTCGTAGTCCTCTTCATCCTCGTCGTCTTCATCGCTATCATCCCACAAAGTCTCCGTCTCAGCCTCCGGGACTTCAGCATCCAGATCAACCTCATCCCCATCTCCATGCCCATCTAGATCCAAGCCATCATCAAGATCGTCTTCGTCCTCCTCCTCTTCATCTTCATGATCGTCTTCATCATAGCTCTCCGCTTCTGGGATATCAGCGTCCAAATCTGCTCCGGTTTCGCCCTCATCACCCTCCACTGCAATTTCACCAGCCGTCTCGTCAAACACTCCATCTTCGCCAGTGACTTCCACATCCTCCATCATTGCCTGTCTTTCCGCTTCCCTTCGTTCCTTCTCTTCATCCAGCTCAACCTGATAAGTTTTTAGTATGCCGGGCGGCTTGATCCATGTTGCCCCGAAACGCTGAATATTTACTTTACGCTGATATACCGACTCTTCATCTAGTGCCAGTTGGGTCAAAGGGGAAATAGATGGGGTCCTAAATCTTGAGGGGTGAGACTGGGAGTTTGGGAGTGCACTTGGATGGATGTTCTGCGAGACGGGGGGGGACGAGAGCGATTGGGGTGTTGTGCTGTTGGGGGAGAATGGAGTGAAGGAGAACGTTGAGGTCGGAATGTACCAAAGAGTATGCGCCTAAGTGTCAAACCTTAGCAGAGATAAATATTTGCGTGAGGATTGCGGGGAGAAAAGCAGCACGTACATCTCGAGGGGCTATCAGCGGAATTGAGGACAGCATTCCCCTATTATGGCGGGTGTTGAAAAATGGGAAAGAGCTCGAGTAATATGCGATGTTGGTCTCTGAAACCGGGGGAACTGGGACCGGTAGGAATGGAGAGGAAAAGTCGAGGTTAGGCCGCGATGAAGCTGGCACCGGAGGATAACTTCTTGGTTGCCCTAGCAACGCTAATTTCATCTATGCCCAAGTATTTAATCAATGAGCCTTATCGTATTGCAAGGTGTGATACGGTACCCTACTCCCGGTAAGGCACTACACAACTACGAGTACTGTACCGTACTGTACCAGAGCCCCAGCATGCATCCTACCCAATCAGCTTCACCACCGGCAGGATACCAGACCCAGGCGATGCCAGTGCCAGGCTCTTCGTGGGAGCAACTAGTATTTTATTCCAAGGAATCCCTACTTCTCCATGTACTAGTACTCTATTGGAGCAGGCTGCAGTACAGCACGAGCACTCTACTTGAGCGGCAAGCACCTAATTTCGAACTGGCAGAGAACTGAAGTCCCCCCGGTTACAATATGCCATTAATTAATATATAAAACTATCTAAACGGCTCTCCTCAGTTGAGCTGATAGAAAAGCCCTATGGCGCGGATGCTTGGGAAATCCAGCTGAAACCGCACTTCATGTCCGCGAAGAACTTGTGCTGCCGTTCACCTAATGCCCTCTCAAGCTATTACCCGGAATTATACCGGTAATTAATTATACATTTATCTGAATCAATAGCTAGGCTAACAGGGCCCATAAAAGCCAAATTGGTGTTTACAAGAGCCTTGAGGGAGACAAGGGGAACTATGAGACGAACGTGAATTGCACCGCCGAGGCATGGCTTGGAGATCATTTGAGATGGATGTACTAGCCGATTTAAAAAGTATCCGGACACCTTGGCGCCAAGACAGGGCCACTGGGTGCCAAGGCGTCCGGATACTTTAAAAATCAGCTAGTATAGTTCCGGACACCGCCAATCAACACCCCAGCGAGCTCCAAATATGACCAACTTCAAACTCCTCTAAGTCAACAACAACAGTTCAAAAGCGCAAAAGCTTCTGTAAAAGGCTTTACTTGATGGTTGTCTAAAGAATTACAGAGGGATTTGAGGAAATATGAACTGCCTGCTGTGCTAGGGCAGCTTAAAGATTTCCATTTTTAGTAGGGGTGGTGGCAAATTAACACAACTCAAAATTACTGTATTGGGTAATATCTTGGCAGTATCATTCCTAATGAGGTAATATATTTCGCCGATCATTTCACTTTGTAAGATAACCTAACCCAATTAGGAAGGTTATCACCGATTAGTAAGCGACAGCCAATTAACACTGGTGTCGATTGGCAGTGTCCGGAACCATACCTGGTAGACTATCAGGTTCTATAAACTGGGGCTTGGAAAGGATTCGGTTTCTGCTCTTGGGTTGCGGGGTTCTGAGAGCTTCTCAAGTAGTGCGGTATCATATCATACCCGATGGTTTCTATTATCGGTATTGGTATGATACTCTGCTAGAAGAAGGGAACTAACGTACCCGATGGCATAGCGAAAAATATGGTACAACGAAAAATCCTGACATGGGATACCAACAGAGCGGTTTAATAAAATGAAAACCCAAATCAAGCAAATAACAAGCAGTTAGGAAGAGCTATTACTACAAGAATTATGTGAAATCAAGTTTGAATCTACCTCCTC